CGCCCCCCCCCGCCCCCCCCCCCCCCCCCGGCCCCGCCCCCCCCCCGGCCTGCCCCCCCCGCGGCCGCAGGTCGGTTGAGGGCCTCCCCGCCGGCCGCCAGCGCCATGGGTGCTGGGGCGGCGGTGACAGACATCTCCCCGGGGAAGGGAGAGGGCAAAGGGCGGGCGGAGGGGTTGTTACCTACTTGGGAGGGAGCCATCGGTACCCGAGGCAGGGCACGGCACTCTGGCACGCCTCCATTGCCGGGACTTGGCGTGGGCAGGGAGATTTCGAGGCTCCTTGGCACTCGATAGCATTTCTCCCCATGGCATCCAGAGGCAGCGCCTCAGTGGTGCAAAACACCAGCACTGGCCAGGTCCCTGGAACAGCAGTTGCCTCGCAGCCCCAGACAGACTTCTGGGGGGCTGCCTCTCAGCTTGGGACCTCTTTGGTGCACAGGGCCAAAATTTTGCACGGCTGCCCCCCTCGCCCCTCAGCCCCGCTCTCTGGCACTGTCCCCAGGCAGAGACCCAGTGGTGGAGGGCAGCATGGTGAAGAAGGTGGCCATCATCGGAGGGGGCAGCAGCGGGCTGTGCGCCATCAAAGCCTGCCTGCAAGAGGGGCTGGAGCCCGTCTGCTTCGAGAGGACCCGGGACATCGGGGGGCTCTGGAGGTTTGAGGTAATCCCTGCGAGCCACATGCCCTGGTGGGGGTCGGCAGCACGGCAGCCGGGGGCCAGCAGCCGGGGGGCCCGGCCGGGCTCCACACAAAGGGCCACCACCTCAGCCCCAGCCATCCCTCCCCAGTGCTGCCCCTGTGCCAGCACCAAGCTGCGCCCCACTCCCGCAGGAGCAGCCTGAGGAGGGCCGCGCCAGCATCTACCGCTCCGTCATCATCAACACCTCCAAGGAGATGATGTGCTTCAGCGACTTCCCCATCCCCGACGACTTCCCCAACTACATGCACAACTCCAAGATCATGGAGTACTTCCGCATGTACGCCCAGCACTTCGACCTGCTCCGCCACATCCGCTTCAGGGTGAGGGCCGGGGGTCCCGGGGGGGCGGCGGTGGCAGGGCCGGGGGGCGCGGGGTGCCTGATGCCCGCTCCCCCTGCACCCAGACCAGCGTGTGCCGCGTGGCCAAGCGCCCCGACTTTGCCGCCACGGGCCAGTGGGAGGTGGTGACGGAGAGCGAGGGGAAGCAGGAGGCGGCCATCTTCGACGCTGTGCTGGTGTGCACCGGGCACCACACCGAGGCGCACCTCCCGCTGAGCGCCTTCCCAGGTACCGCCCCGCGCCCCGGTGCAAGGAGAGACCCCAGAAAGCTCAGCCATGGGAACCCCTGTTCGCCCTGCTGCTCTTCCTCCCAGCCTCAGTGGTTACCTGCCTTGCTTCAACACGGGGAGCGCTCCCATGCTACCCAGGAGGGGACTGGAGGGGCCAGGGAGTGTCCCCACTTCAGTTTTTGGGGAGGTGACCCTCCAGCACCAGGAAGCCAAGCATCCCTCCTCCCCACCCGCAGGCATCGAGAAGTTCAAGGGCCGCTACCTCCACAGCAGAGACTACAAGGATGCCCAGGATTTCACAGACAAGAGGGTCGTCGTCATTGGGATTGGGAATTCAGGGTTGGACCTGGCCGTGGAAATCAGCCAAACGGCCAAGCAGGTGAGCAGCAGGAGCAGGGTCCCGGCAGGCAGGGCAGCCCCCCGTGGGACACTGCCGGCTCCACAGGGACACCAGGACCAAGGCGCTGGCACAGCCGCCACTCTGTCCTAGCACTCGCTGCATTTGGCAGTGCCGGCACCTGGCAATCCCAGTTGCCGGGCAGCAGTGGCAGCTGAGACTCGATCCCATACAATACCCTGATTTCCATCCCCGAGCCCTGGGCTGGGGCTGCCCCTGTGGCTCTTCCCTACCTCTCCCTGCCTGGTGCCCACCTCTGGCTCGCTCTGGGTCTTTGCCCAACACCCAGGCAGTGTGAAGAGGCGTGATCCTGGTGTGAGGACATGGCCCCCCAGGACCATCACAGCCTTCAGGAGGCGATGCTTCCTTCCTCACCCAGGTCTTCCTTAGCACTCGTCGGGGTGCATGGATACTCAACCGTGTTGGAGATCAGGGCTACCCCATTGACGTCGTCTTCACCACCCGCATGAAGACGTTCCTGAAGCAGCTGATGAGCCCCTCCATGGTGAGCGACTTTGCAGAGAAGCAGCTGAACGCGAGGTTTGACCACTCGCACTACGGCCTGAAGCCAAAGCACAGGTGCCAACAAAAGCTCCCCCTGCCCAGGAGGGACCCCCCCAGATCCCCCCGTGTCCAGCCCTGCTTGGCCATTTCCATGCTCCCTGTGTCCAGGCTGGGGCCGAGGCACCAGCCCTGGAAACCCAGTTAATAGCTGTGGTGTGACCAGGCAATGCTTGAGGGAGCCACTAGTGCCCCTTCTGGGGACCCTTGGTGGCACCAGTGCAGTAGCAGCTGCCGAGCATCCATGGGGGACCAGCCCCATTGGTGATGAGCATCCTCAGGGCTGAGCATCCCTGGGGATGAGCATCCTCGGAGCAGGGAGCAGTGGCCGCAGCAGGACACGGAGCAGAGACACCCCACCCCAGCACCCTGATGCCTCCTTGTGCCTTCCAGGATCATTGACCAGCACCCGTCCGTCAATGACGACCTGCCCAACCGTATCATTTCGGGCAAGGTGCTGGTGAAGCCGAATGTCCAGGAGTTCACGGAGACATCTGCCATCTTTGCGGATGGCACCAGGGAAGACATCGATGCTGTGGTCTTTGCCACGGGATACAGCTTCTCCTTCCCCTTCCTCGAGGGCTGCGTGAAGGTGGTGGAGAACCAGATCTCCCTCTACAAATTCATGTTCCCCCCCGACCTGGAGAAGCCGACGCTGGCTTTCATCGGCCTCATCCAGCCCCTGGGCGCCATCATGCCAATCTCCGAGCTCCAGTGTCGCTGGGCCACCCGCGTCTTCAAGGGTACGTGAGGGGAAACCTCCCCTGTGGCTGCAGCCTGAGCCTGCGCCCCCGGACCCGGGGCAGATGGTGTCCAGCTGTGTTTGGGACATAGCAGCCAGCTGTGCCATCCTGGTTGTGGGCAATGGCATGGCCGTCTCTCAGCCATCATGCGGAGCTGGGCTTTTGCCTGAGCAGTGCAGGGACATCCGTACCCTCAGCCCCATGGGCTGCTCCTTCCCATCCTGAGGAGCTTGGACATGCCTCAGGTGCCAGACCGCTCGCCACAGTGGTGCCAGCAGGGGCAGAGCACCCAGGCAAGGGCACCGCAGCGGCCAATGTTGCCAGTGGGGTGCAGCACCCCCATGCTGTGGCTTATCCTCCCTAGGGCTGAACAAGCTGCCCCCACGGCACGACATGGAGGCTGACATCAAGCAGAAAACGGAAGCGATGGCAAAGCGGTAAGATCCCCCCGGGAACAGGGAAGGGGCTGGTTTGGACACGGCTGCTCATGGGCACCCGTCCTGTCCCATGGCTGCGTCCTGGCACATTTGGCTTTGCCAATGGATGGCAGGGATGCGCTTGGCTGCACTACCCCCACCCTGCTGATCCTTCCCAATGGCGGTCTGTCCAATACCACCTTGCCGGCGCACGGGGCATCTGCTGGCTCTGCCACCAGCGCCCCCCTGCCCTCCCTGCCCGCAGGTACGTGAGGAGCCGGCGGCACACCATCCAGGTGGACTACATCCCCTACATGGACGAGCTCGCCTGCCAGGTGGGGGTCAAGCCCAACCTGCTTGCCCTCTTCCTCACCGACCCCAAGCTGGCGCTGGAGGTGGTCTTTGGGCCCTGCACGCCGTACCAGTACCGCCTGCAGGGCCCGGGCGAGTGGGCGGGTGCCAGGGAGGCCATCCTCACCCAGCGGCAGCGCATCATCAAGCCCATGCAGACGCGGCGTGTGGAGGAGCACCCCTCGGCCCCCACTGTGCCCCTCATCTTCAAGCTGGTTGGGGCCGTGGCCGTCCTCGCCATCATTTTTGCTTACTTGTAGGTGTCTGCTCTTGCTGGGCTGCCCAGAGGGAAGGAAGGCTTTGTGGTGTGCCAGCAGGGCTGGCCAGCCACCCCCTGCCCCACAGCAGCCTGTGCACCCCAGTGCTGGCAGGAGCCCTCGTCCTGCCCGGAAAGGCCCCGCTGTGGCCACACTGCAAGCTCGGGGTGCGTGGAGCCTCCCCAGCTGCCAAAATAACGCCTGGTGCCCGCTCTGCACCTCCTCCCAGGGAGCCGCCACCAGGGATGGACAAGGAAACCTGCTCACAAGCAGGGTAAAATCCAGTCCCTCTCGGGCAGTGCTTTCGACCCAGCTGGGCTGCACCGGCTTTCCTGTTGCCTATAACCTGGCTGAGCCACCACTGGCTACACTCACACAAGAGCTAAGCAGCAAAGGCACAACACATTTCCTAACTGGATAAAAGTGTGTTAAACAGAGCCAGGCGTCCGTCCCATTCCTGACACCACCCTGTCCCCCTCCGTGCCAGGAGGACGCGCACAGGTTTGAGGTCGGCCTTGTGCCAGCGGCACAGCTCCGGCTCTGCAGCAGCGTGGGCTGCATGCATGCACATGCATGCACATGCATGTATCCACAGCAAAACAGCCTTGCCCAGGGTGTGTGCCGCCAGAGCAGGTCATGGTGCTCACAGCGGCATGGCTCAGTGCCACCCTCGTCACCTGCACACAGCCCCTCCGGAGGATGGCTGGGTGGGTTGGGGACCCAGAGCGGTGACAGGGTATCATGGTTTAACCCCAGCCAGCAACTAAGCACCATGCAGCCGCTTGCTCACTCCCCTCACAGTGGGATGGGGGAGAGAATCGGACGGGTAAAAGTGAGAAAATTCGTGGGTTGAGATAAAGACAGTTTAATAGGTAAAGCAAAAGCCGTGCACGCAAGCAAAGTAAAGCAAAGGAGTTCATTCACTACTTCCCATCGGCAGGCAGGTGTTCAGCCATCTCCAGGAAAGCAGGGCCCCATCACGTGTAATGGTTACTTGGGAAGACAAACACCATCACTCCGAATGTCCCCCCCCTTCCTTCTTCTTCCCCCAGCTTTATATGCTGAGCATGATGTCATACAGTGTGGAATATCCCTGTGGCCACTTTGAATCAGCTGTCCTGGCCATGCCCCCTCCCAGCTTCTTGTGCACCTGGCAGAGCACGAGAAGCTGAAAAGTCCTTGACTGGTGTAAGCACTACTTAGCAACAGCTAAAACATCAGTGTGTTATCAACATTATTCTCATACTGAATCCAAAACACAGCACTATACCAGCTACTAGGAAGAAAATAAACTCTATCCCAGCTGAAACCAGGACACAGGGGTTCCTGGCCACCACGCACCATGGTCAGCACGGCTGCTGGCCACCAGTGCCCTGAGCACCCCCCTGGTTTTGTCTTCCATGCCACAACCTGACGAAATCTGGAGCATGGCCACATCTCGGCCCCCGCACCCAGGAAGTCCCGGGGCAGGGTCGGCATCATTAAGCGCTTACAGAACTTAACGAGCGCCTTGTGGAGGGCGGGTGCAGGCAGGAGGTGTGGCACGGCGGCAGGGGAACCTGTAGATCATGTCTGGAAGAAACACACTGTGACACCCCAGCTGGCCTCAGTTGCCCACGGGAAGCGCAGGGACGGCCACCCCCCACCGAGCAGCACCGCGCATTCCCCCCAGTGTGACCTGCTGGGCTCCGCACCCCCTTCAGTGCGTGCTGCCCCCCACCGAGGCTTCCCTGCCATTCCTGCCTCCACCACACCGTGGGACATGGCCGCCCAGCGAGTAGCCATCATCGGGGCTGGTGCCTCTGGCCTTTGTGCCCTGAAATGCTGCCTGGATGAGGCGCTGGTACCCACCTGCTTCGAGAGGAGCGGGGACATCGGGGGGCTCTGGCGCTTTGAGGTAAGCCCCGGACCGTGCCAGCCGGCCCTGCGGCAGCAGCGCGGATGGGATTGGGATCAGTCATTGGCAGCAAACGAAGCACCACTCCCCTGCTTTGCATGCGTGCAGCAGGTGGGTTGCTGAGGAAAACCGCAGGAAAAAAAACCTGCTGCAGCAGCAGGAGGTCCCCGCAGTGCCAGCTGGTGTGCCAGCCACACTGGGCCCATCTCCTTCCCACCAGCAGCAGGACGGACCCTCCCCAAGGACCTCACCCCAGGGCCCACCCCACCCCCCCGGCTCAGCCTTCCCCCTTCCCATCCCTCCCTTCCCAGTCTCATCCATCCCTTCCCCTGCTGCTTTGCTCCTGGTCCCCTCCAGCCCTTTCCTACCTGTCCTTTTCCCATCTGACCCTGCTCGCTGTCCCAGTCCCTGTCCTGCCCAGCCCTCCCCTGGAAGTACCGGTTGCTCTTCTCACTGCTTCTGTGCCACTCGCCCACGCAGAAGCACCGAGCACTGCCTCATCTATGTCTTGGCTCTCCCTGCCTCGGTGGAAGCCCCAGAGCTCGTTTCTGACCCCACCTAATGAGGCCGCTCGACTTTTCCCCCGGGGACCCACCGACAAGAAGACAAGCCTTGCCACTGTGCGCTAATACACAGGTGGCAGAGTCCACGGGATACACCGGCTGTACCACGCCAGCACGGGGCTTGGGGTGGCTGGGTTACAGTCTGCTGGCTCTGCCTGTGGTGGGTCAGAAACAGGGCTGGTGGAGCAGAGCCAGGCCAGCAGCGCCCGGCTGCTGGGGCAGAAACCCGACGAGTAGGAGCAGCCGCTCAGCTGGAAGCACCAGAGCAGCTCAGCAACCGGGGAGTCCCAATGTGGCAACCAGGGCAATGGGACCATGGACAGCTTTGGGAACGCACCGCCTCATCGGGGCTGCGGATGGGAGCGGGGCAACTGAGGCACAAGACCCCAGGACCCGCTGTCACTGCTGCATGGCCCCCGCCAACCCAGAGCCTCCTCTCCCCCATGTTGCGGGGCGGGCAGTTGCACCTGCAGGAGCGAGCTGGGTGCAGGGACGGGTGCGACAACCAGCTGTGGCTTAATCCTGCACCTACAGGTATGGTGAGGCGCCAGGCAGGGGAGGCAGGTGTCCGCTGCAAACCCGCAGCCCCAACTTCCCATGCCAGCGCCGAGCTGTACCCCGCTCCCGCAGGAGCAGCCTGAGGAGGGCCGCGCCAGCATCTACCGCTCCGTCATCATCAACACCTCCAAGGAGATGATGTGCTTCAGCGACTTCCCCATCCCCGACGACTTCCCCAACTACATGCACAACTCCAAGATCATGGAGTACTTCCGCATGTACGCCCAGCACTTCGACCTGCTCCGCCACATCCGCTTCAGGGTGAGGGCCGGGGGTCCCGGGGGGGCGGCGGTGGCAGGGCCCCAAGCGCCCCGACTTTGCCGCCACGGGCCAGTGGGAGGTGGTGACGGAGAGCGAGGGGAAGCAGGAGGCGGCCATCTTCGACGCTGTGCTGGTGTGCACCGGGCACCACACCGAGGCGCACCTCCCGCTGAGCGCCTTCCCAGGTACCGCCCCGCGGGCTGCTCCCTGACACCCCTGGGAACCCCCTCCTCTCTGGCTTAACCCCCACCCCGCTCTGGCTGCTGCCAAAAATGCCTCCACAGGTTAACGCACCAGGTGGGATTGCATGAGCATGCTGCTATCCCACCCGTCTTGGTGGTCTGTTCTTGGTGGCTCTTGCCATGCTGTCAGCACCTGACCAAAGTGCCCTGCTGGCAGGTGCCACCGCTACCAGCTTACCTCTCCCACCAGAGACAGGCTCTCCGAGCTGCTGGCCACGCACCTGCTGGGCTCGCCGGCACCCCAGCAAGGCTTGAGAGCTTGGTGCTGGTGGTGGTCTTCTCCTCCGGGTGCCAGGCAAAAGTGCCTGGAGGGCTTTCAGCTGTGGAGACCCTCTTTGGGTGGGGAACAGGCTGGAGCACACGGTCACCAGGGTCTGGCGGGACGGCACAGCCCCTGGCTGCTCCTCTACCCCCAACACCTGGCACTGGGCAGGAAGTGCAGGAGAATTTCGGGATGGGAGCATGGAGGTCTCCAGTCCAAGCTCTGCTCCAAGCCAGGCCAGCCCCAAAGCCAGAGCAGGATGCTCAGAGCCATGCTGAGCATCTCCCAAGCTGGAGATGCCACCACCTCTCTGGGCACCATCCCAGGGCTGCATCACTGCCGTTGGTCACACTGGTCCCAGCCTGTTCCCAAAACACAGCACCAGTCTGAGTGGGGAGACAGCCACACCCTGCTCCATGTCCCTGCCCAGCATGGCTTCCCTCTCTCTTCCAGGGCTGGAAAAGTTTGAGGGCTGGTACCTGCACAGCCGGGACTACAAGAGCCCACAGTTCTTTTCAGGGAAGCGGGTGGTCGTGGTTGGCACCGGGAATTCAGGCATCGACATCGCAGTGGAGCTGAGCCACACAGCCAAGCAGGTGCGCTGGGAGAGCCCCTGGGGCCGGGGTGCTCATTCGGACCATGGAGGGCATCGAGCAACCCCCCACCATGCAGTGGGCTCCCCTCCCTCCAGCAGCCAGCCACAAGCACCCCGTCCCCTCTCGATGCGAGCACGGCGGGGGCCCAGCCCGGTCCTGAGGATGCTGCCACGCCACCAACTCCCCTCTCCTTCCTCCCAGGTCTTCCTCAGCACCAAGCGTGGGACCTGGGTGCTGCACCGGGTGGCAGACGGCGGGTACCCCTTTGACTTCTGCTACATCAGCCGCTTCTTACAGCTCCTCCAAAGCTTGCTGCCCCACAACGCCAGCAGCTTTTTCCTGGAGAGGAAGCTGAACGCCCGCTTCGACCACGCACTCTATGGCCTCCAGCCCCAGCACCGGTGAGCGCCCTGGCAGCACCCCAGGGACCTGTCCCTGCACTGCCCGTCCCCTGCATGAGGTCTGTCTGTGCCTTCCAGGGTCCTTAGCCAGCACCTGACCATCAATGACGACCTGCCCAACTGCATCATTTCAGGCAGGGTGCTGGTGAAGCCAAACATCCAGGAGTTCACAGAGATGTCTGCCATCTTCGAGGATGGCACCAGGGAAGACATTGATGCTGTGGTCTTCGCCACGGGATACAGCTTCTCCTTCCCCTTCCTCGAGGGCTGCGTGAAGGTGGTGGAGAACCAGATCCCCCTCTACAAATTCATGTTCCCCCCCGACCTGGAGAAGCCGACACTGGCTTTCATCGGCTTCGTCCAGCCCCTGGGCGCCATCATGCCAATCTCCGAGCTCCAATGTCGCTGGGCCACCCGTGTCTTTAAGGGTAAGCGAGGCGGGGTGAGGGGTATGGCTCCCTTGGCCACGGCAAGGCAACTAGCAGCATCCCCTTGCACACTGCCTCCCTCCACTCACCTTTGTTGACCTCCTTTTGCTTATTCATAAGCACAAAAACCAGCGTTGCATTTTGCAATGAGCCTCGTGCTCATCTTTTCTTGTGGGGACCACTAACAGGTCCCGTTGCCTGCAAACCACCTTCTCCCTCTCCTTTGCTACCATTACTTTTTTCACCCATGCCTCCTGCTTTGCTCCTGCCGTGATGGCACATCCCCAAAGCCCCAAAGGCTTTTTTGTGCAAGCAGAGGCCAGCGTGGGCGGCAGAGCCAGCCATACCATGGCGGGAGCACAGCCCTCCCTCCAGCCACAGCCTCCTCTTCCCCAGGGCTGCAGGACCTGCCGCCATCGGCCGACATGCTGGCTGACGTCACGCAAACCAAGGAGAAAATGGCCAAGCGGTAAGGACCCTGCGCAAGCATTGCCGCTGCCACTGTTACCCCTGTGCCCACGTGCCAAGCCTGCCTGCCCTCCTTGCCCGCAGGTACGTGAGGAGCCGGCGGCACACCATCCAGGTGGACTACATCCCCTACATGGACGAGCTCGCCTGCCAGGTGGGGGTCAAGCCCAACCTGCTCGCCCTCTTCCTCACCGACCCCAAGCTGGCACTGGAGGTGGTCTTTGGGCCCTGCACGCCGTACCAGTACCGCCTGCGGGGCCCGGGCAAGTGGGTGGGCGCCAGGGAGGCCATCCTCACCCAGCAGCAGCGTGTGGTCAAGCCCCTGCAAACCAGAGCCAGGGACCGTCCTCCCCGCTCCAGCACCGTGCCCCACATCTTCAAGGTCTTCTTCAGCATCGGTTTGATTGTGGCCACCCTTGTCTATGTCTCACTCTCTCCTTAACCTAAAATGAAGGAGACAGTGGGTCCTCCTGGCAACCTTCTTCCTTTCCTTTGGGCCTGGGCATTTCTGTAGTCTCTTGCTAGGTCTGCCGCCACATCAGGAGGCACGGAGGGAGTCGGTTCCTTGAGGACGCAGCCGGGTCTGTCTCGCTTTCCTGCTGTGCCAGGGCCACACCAGGCCTTGTCGGGGGCTGCCCCGAGCACAGGGATGGCTCCCCTTCCCGAAATCCTGGCCTGCAGGCACTACCCCTGGGTTAGGCTGGTGCAGAGGTGGCTGGGAAACCGGGAACTCGCCTGGCCAGGGCGCCTCAGGAAAAGGGCAATAAAGTTTGTCCCTGTGCCGAGGGGGCCAGGGACCCCACTGCGGGGGCTGCCTCAGTCTCTGGTGTCCGTCCTGAGGTGTCCGTCCTGCGCCCGCAGGGCCTGGCCAGCCCGCGGGCAGCGCCCTGGCCACTTGCACCCCACAGCCGGCCTGCGCGCCCCGCGGCCTGGTGGCCCAGCCCCGCCGCCATCCCTCACCCCTGCCCCGCCACGGCCGGGCCCCAGCCCTGGCTCTGCCCTCAACCGACATGGCCGCCGGGCGGCTGCTGGGCGGGTGAAGCCGCGCGGCCCTCGGCCGCCC